TTGTAGTGCTGCATGCATGATGACCAACCACTTATATGCTGGTATGCCTGTTAGAAAAAGTATTTCACATCCTGGATCTGTCTGAATACTGAAACACTTTTTTCCTGCTTTGTTTTACTTACGTATTTCAGAGAGCTGATGTTTATTGGGGGTTTTGCTAAAGGCAGAGGTAGTCACTGAAGTTACAATGGCAGCCTGTGGCAGCTGAGGCCACACAGTGAGGATTTTTGAATTACGTGTACATTAACTGTGTTGTCATGTTTGGGAACTTCTCATAGCCACACAATTCTCAGACAAATTCTGTGAAATGTATACCGGAAGTCAATTTGAAAGATGCACCTTTTGTGCCTCATTCCTGCTCTTTTGATCTGTTTGGTCAGAAATAGATTTGATAGGTCATGAGCTTCCATGAGTAGCAAGGCAGTGCACCGGCTGTCTCCAGGCACAGTGGAAAGCTTTGCCTTTTATAAATTTATTTAATATTACTGAGGTTTAATCTTTGTTAAAAGTGCCTGATGTTTGCTAAATCAAGATATATAAAGCATCTGAAAATATTTTTGATGTCCTTGCAGTCTTGGAATTTTTAGACTTACATTCTGAAATGACATTTTTTCTGTGAAAGCGCTTGCATTGTTTCAACTAAAAGTACAGTTGTTTGTAACATGCAAACTGGACATGAGATACTGCTTTGCAGTAGTTACTAATCTGCTGATGAATGAGTCTTGTAGAGATTGGAAGGGATTTGTGTAGGCTGCAAATGGAATATAATGAGTTTCAAAAATGTAAGCAATTTAAAATACTGCTTGGATGTGTATTAAAATGTTCAGAAGGCACACACAGTTTCTTGAAATCTTGATCTTTTTAGCTATCCATGATGCCATCATTGTGAGTATGTTTGTCCAGAGAATGTTTGTCCACCCTAAATTGTACTAAATAATCAGTTTCTGAGAGACAGCTGTCATCCTGAGTATCTTACTATGTAAATAGGCTCTGCTGTGCTGGAGGTTAGTATCTCAGGAGCTTTCTAAGGATGTAGATGCACATCTTCTGATTTCACAGATAACAGCAGTAGTCATCTCTGCCTCTTTCTTCTGTCTTCAGTACAGTTTAATGCTCTGTTTTCTGTGGTTTTCACAGGTTCATGTGATGGCTTCTCCTTTTGGGTCAAAATAATCCTTTTTAGCAGTGACCAGCTGCTTTGCATTTTAAGCTTGCCTGCTGTTCTTTGAGAGTGAAAAGCAGGAGGAGTGGCTGGACCAACTGATGAATAATCATGAATTTTCCCACTCAGTTCTATCATGTGCTACTTTGAGCTGGTTTTGAAAGAAACTTGAGGCTCTGACTTTGAGGGGTATGGTGTAACTGGTGAGGTTTATTCCCAGGTGATTACAGTTCACATTGCAAAAATTCCTTCTGTACTTTGTCTGAATACTGTGGTGATTAGTGTCTAATGTTATAGGTGTACCATGTTCCATTTTGGAGAATTTTGTCTTGTAGAGAAAGAACAAAGACAGCTGGAACTGAGTAAAAGAATAGGTCTTGTTGAAGAGCAGGGTTTACATCTGTTTTTACTGTGTGATATTCCAGCTCATGAGTCTTTATATCATAGAACCAAACAACACCAAATATTTTGTGATAACCTAAAAAATTGTTCCTCAGGCTCTGGTAAAATGGTTGTTATATGATGAGAAAGTTCACAGTGTTGGATAAGCTTGAATTTTCCTTTCCTGGCTTATGTTATGGGTAATTCAAAGGACTGTATAGCTGTCTCTTTGCTGTGTCTGCAATGTTATGGGCATCCACTGAAAATGTCAATGAATGGATTAACTTGTTATTTGTCAAGGTATTTCTGTATGATCTGAGTGTCTGCTTTCTGTGTATTTGTGAGGTCAGTTCATTGTCCATAGGCAACAGTGAGTGTAACCTGCTTTTCTGTTTTGGGATCCTGATGACCCTATAACTACAAAGAAAAGAGGGTTCATCTCAGCTGTGTGCAGTTTTGTGTACCACACTGAAAAAGGTCACTTGGTTTGTTCAGCCTGGAGAAGAGGAGGCTGAGGGAAGACCTTGAGTAGTCTGTAGCTTCCTCATGAGGGGAAGCAGAGCGGCAGGCACTGATCTCTTCTCTGAGGTGACCAGTGACAGGACTTGAGGGAATGGCCTGAAGCTGAGTCAGGGGAGGTTCAGGTTGAGTATTAGAAGAAAGTTTTTCACACTGAGGTGTCTGGGCATTGGAACAGGCTCCCCAGGAAAGTGGTCATAGCACCAAGCCTGACAGAGTTCAAGAAGTGTTTGGACAATGCTCCTGGGTACAAGGTGTGGTTATTTGGGCTGTTCTGTGCAATGATAGGAGTTGGACATGATGAGCCTTGTGGGTCCCTTAGCACAATCTATGATTTTAAAAGAAAAAAAAATTACCTCTTAACCATTATGCAACATCTCTGTAGTCTTTTTTCCCCTATTCTTTGCATTCATGAATCAGTTCTTCGCAAAAAAATTACCCGTATGCATTAGTATCTTCTGTGTTACTGCTTTCAGTGCATTATAGTGAATAAATATTATTTTATCAGCCCACTTGGCAATAATGACCATTAATAACCTGATTGTTAACTGATGGGTCTCAGATGCTGAAGGCACACTTGTTCCAAAATGGCAGAATCTGCCTCTCCTTTTTACTGTAATAAAGCTGCTTCCGTTTCTGTGTTGCTGGGAGACTGCAGCTAATTTTTATGGTGCATATCAGTAGTAGTGACTCACATTATACATTTCATTGAATAGCTCTTCTTTTGTTTGTAAACTGCCTTCTGTAAGGGGAGAGGAATTTCGTTCTGGGGAGAACAGTATCCAGACCAGAGAATATGACTGAATCTGAAACAAAAGCTCAGACTGTTCTGTTGATAACATCATTGTACTTCCAAAGCCACTTTCAGGGGGGATGGTGACCTGGCTGAATTTAACTGGTGACCAGTCTGATAGTCAAGCCTAACAGAGGTACTCAGAAGAATTCCAGGTGAGACAAACACATCTCCTCAAACTGCTGTTTTTCTTTTTCAGAATCCATGGTGCAAAACTTCAGCATGTGGCGTGACTTTAAAGCAAAACAACAAAATAGACTGAGAGATTACGAATTTGAAAACTGTGTCGTTTTGGTTCACAACACAGATAACGGTGGCAGTTTGGGGCTGTGTAGAAAATGCAGTCCTTTTTAGAATGATTGTTGCACAGCTTGCATGTGGGTCAGGACGTGCATGCAATTACATTGGCAAAAAGTGGGTGTAATTGGGCATGCACCTAAATGGAAAAAGACATGTGTAAGGTGGAATCTGACTAATAAGTAAAAAAATCCTCTGCTTGCTGAATCTGTACTCCTTTTCTGGCTAAAGGAGATGGTAGTCCATTTTGTGCTGTTCACAGTCTGCTTAGGTTTGTAGCAGTGTCTTGTTTTTAATATTGCTTGAGATGCCTCTCTAAAATGGGGTGTGTGTGTGTGTCTGAAGCCTGCTTGCTTAAACACGCGAGTCATGTCAGCTGCAATGCGGCAGTGCTTGGTGCTAATGAGGTGAGCAGCCAGAGCACCCGTCTGCTTATGTTTGCTCATCTCTGTGCAATTATGGCTGTGGGGATTGGAAGAAGGGATTTGTATTGGATGTGGCTCTGTTTTGGCCTTTCCAGAGTGTGGTTCTGTGTTCTCCTGAGGACTGGGCAGCACATTTCAACTTCCATTTTGGGAGTTAGGTGGTTGCTTCATTATGTTTAATGCAAAGTCTAATATACATCCTGGTTGGGAGAAGAAAAGAAAAAAGGGAAGTACAGAGTGGGGGAAACCCCCACTTCTTCTCTCCCCTCTCCATCCCAATTCTCCCCCACTTAATTCTAATGCACCTTGAAATGCAATATATAGCTTGGCAATCAGTGCCTTCATGCAGAGTAAATATAAGTCTGTATTTGTAATGTAGCATCTTTGAAATATATTAATCAGGTAATAAAGTGTGGTTAGATCTCACAAGTTACAGGTGGTCTTTGGTAGGCACAAGCTGCAGAGGCACTGTGATTTCTCAGCTCACTTTTTCTTATTTTATTTTTTTAACCCTTAAGGTGCTGACAACAGTGTGAGCTGAGTATTTTTTGCTGAAGTCATAAATTTTTGCTTTGAACATAAGGCAAATAAAGTAAATATCAAACCTTGTTTGTCTTTTCAAACAAAGAAAGTCCTCAGATGCCAGACTGTCTCCATTGAGCTTGATGCCTTCCTGTCCAATTCTGTTGTATGCCTATTCCTGCAGCTCGTCTTTCAGTGTTTCCTTTTCAGAGAATTAGCCTGTAAAACTATAGGTCATGATTAAGTAATATATTGATCTTGTTGGCAAAGCTGGCTTTCCTTCTAGTTCCTGCCTTTGTCACAGGGTGCTTCCCTGTTAGCTGATAAAATTATTTCTGACTACTTAATTTAATACAAATCAGATTGTTGAAATGACCTGTTAAAAATACTGCTGGTTTTTTGTGTTTTTTTAAGGATCGTATCTAGTCTCTGTTACTTTGGCAATATGTTGTGTAATGTGGTGCCACAAACAGAGGGATCAATACAGCTGGGACTGGGAAAGGTATGAACTGCATCCTGTAGGCAAGAACCAGCAGTGGGAGGCAGGAACCTCCTGAGCTGTTGGTACAGCTGATGTGAGTGTAGTGTACAGCTTACACTGTAGAAGGGATGGAGTGTCAACCTGTAAACAAACGTCCATCACCCTGGGAAGGAGCCCAAGACTGTGTGCCCTAATTAAGTCTGGTTTTTGCTTGGTCCTAGTTTTAAGTGAGTTAAGAGTGACATGAGTGAAACAGCATAGCTGACAAGATGTGTGCTAGGGAGAGTTGTGCTGTTTTAACACTCTGTTGAAGTCTGGTATCTCTCTGATCACAGATAGTACAGTATTGCTGTGCCTGTTTACCTTCTCTTGGAGACCTTATGACTTAAGACTGGGTTGTTTTCTCTCTTCCTTCTTTAGGTCTCCGGGTGAAAGGGGAGCTCATTACTGCTTACCCACAAGTGGTGGTTGTGCGTGTGCCAACACCTTGGGTCCAGAGTGACAGCGACATCACAGTCCTTCGCCACCTAGAGAAGATGGGCTGTCGATTGATGAATCGTCCTCAAGCCATCCTCAACTGTGTCAACAAGTTCTGGACGTTTCAAGAACTTGCTGGCCATGGTGTGCCTCTTCCAGACACTTTTTCATATGGTAAGGCTGTTGGATGAAAAGGGTAGCATAGTTGCCTAGACAACTTGTGCTTTTGCAGTGCAAAAGATTTAGGTTTTGGAAATCCATAGAAATTTAAGTAGCATGAGGCCAGTTCCTCAGCTAAGTGTTGAGTAACCAAAAAGGAGGTTAAAATCGTGATACACAGATTCTGGTTTTGTCCTTGTTGACTGGCTTTTGATGCTTTGAAAAGAGTACTTGAGCTGTACCTTAACCTTCCAAGCAGCCGACTTTGGCTGTTAGTGCTATAATACTTTCTGTTCTTTCTGTTCTTTTCCAATTGCCCAAAACAGCAGACAAGAGCTTGGGGTACTAAGTGTCATAAGTACTGCAGAAAACTGGACTTTGGTACAGCCTGAAAGTAGATTAAACTGCTATATGAATAAAAATGTCTGCAAATACATCAGTTTTTGTGAAAGGACAAGACTAGCAAGGAGTATGAGCCCTTGTGTTCATCTTTTAACAATAGTTTAGGCTTTGTTTCCCGCCAAAACAGTTAATTATTGTTTATCGTGCCTACCTCTGAATCTCTGGTATATCTGGTTCCTGACAGAGTGCTAGATTGGAGGAACCATTTGTCTGAGCTACCCTGATGCTATTTCTGCTTTTAATTACAACTTGTTAAAGAACTGTAGATACTTCTCAACCTTCTGTTCCTTCTGGGAATACCAGTGCTTTCCTCCCCTTTGTGTGATTGCATCAATAGACTTTTGTAATGGGAATGTGACAAAATGAGAAAAAAAATGGACAAAACCGTGGCTTTTCTATCAATTACTGTGAAAAAACATTTGAGAAGAAATATACCCTTTATTTATAGATGTGGTTGCTTTAACTTGTTGAGAAAGGAATGAGTTTTTAATTTTTTGGGGGAAGGGGAGACCAGGAATGATGCTTAATAATTGCAGAACATACCTCTTTGGTCATTATGCCTTCCCACTTCTGTTAGTGTCTGCCTCTGGAATTTGACAGAAGCATGACTTTCCTTTCTTCTTTTCTTTTTTCTTTTTGTTTTTTTTAAACTGCAAGTATCAAGTTATCAGTGAGGGCTGACTTTGCCAAGTAAAGCAGCGTGTGCTGACTGAGATGTTACTCCATGACAAGCATTAAACTCCATGGCAGGGTCGTGAAGGCTGTTGCTGGCTTTGTGACTTTGTGTCTTGGCTTGACTTCTGCACTTTACTGCATGATGTGTTAGAGGGGGCTCATACCTTTGTTTGCTGACTTTTCTCGTCTGTATTTCTTGTGCTGTGGTCAGCCTTCTTTGAATTGAACTCAAGTAACCTTGAAGTATCAAACATAATTGTGTGAATGGCCATTAAAAGCTACTCTCTAAGGTCCTTACAGATGCAATGAGATTAAAAGGTTGAAGAACTACTTCAGGATATAGGCAGAATGAGATACAGGAGACTTAAGCCTTGAGAAGGGGGAGGTGGACTGACAAGGTCTGGGTTGCTGCTGCTCTGTGAATTATGCCTTGTCATTGTGTTCCATGTTGCTTTCCTGGTTAGTAGTTTGGAACTGTTACTAGTGTTATGTGTCTTCTGTTTTCCTGTTAGACATTTGAAAAGATGGAAGTAAAGTAGAAGTGATAAACTGGAACAAGATGGTAGAATTGGGGCATTTGGATTTGGAAGATTAGAGTGAGTCTTTTGGGATTGTGATCAAGCGGCCTTTGTCAATTTGTGTCTTCAACTCAAAAGGAAGTAGGTCTTAGTATCCCACAGGTCACAAACACCTTCAAAGTCTGATCATGCTTCATGACCAAGGTCCTCCTAACTGATGATTTCTCTGCATTATCTAAGCTGTAAGGGTGGGAGGAATGTACGGCAAGTACATCCCAAATTTGGCCACAGCAGACTGGTGGCACATAATGTTGTTGGTTTTCTTTTTGCCAGGTGGTCATGAGAATTTTTCCAAAATGATTGATGAGGCGGAAGTGCTGGAGTTCCCTATGGTGGTGAAGAACACGCGGGGTCATCGAGGTGGGTGTGAGGGCAGGGGTGAGGGCAGGGAGTGTTCTGAGAAGCACTCCCAACATTTTGTCTCATCAAGGAGTGATAGTTAAGAAGATCTGTTAGGTATTGGACTTCTTTCAAATACATCTAAATTCTACCACTCTTGAATGCTGAATGTTGCATAGGCTGCAGCACTGGGAAACAGTTTTAGTAGAACCCAGTCTTGCAAAGGCAGGGGGCAAAGCATTCAGAATTGTGGTGCATTGATGACTTCTATGAGGAAAGCTTTGAACTGGAATAATGGGAGGTCTGGCCTTCGTGAAGTTGAAAGAAGCCTACATGGATTTTAGGGGAGTTTTTAAATAGGCCTAAGAAATGAAATCTCAGTTCATTCAGTGACTTTTTTCCTACTCAACTTTGTCTATAGTTAGGATTCTGATTTAATTAAAATCTTATGTATTGTTTGCAAAACTGAATCTCTGCTTTTCAGAAAAATACCTCTGACAGTGCTGGTGGTATTACCTCAGGTTCAGATTAAATTGCTCTGTTACCAGTCTTATGTTTTAAATGTTGAATATAAAACAAATATCAACTTAATTTAGTGTTAAATAGTGGTTACTAAAGGAAACCATGTTTAAATCAATTTCAGAGGTTATTTGCACAGGAAGTTGCTTTGTTTCTAATATACTTTAAAACAAATTTAATAAATACTTGTTCTATAAAGAGACTAAAAATAAAGTTAAGGCACAAAACCAGAAGGTACTTCAAACAAAATCATAACTAGAGGATACCACTTCTTTCTTTCTGTCCATCAATTTGCTCTCACTCTCTGCTGCTCTGATGCTTCTGTTTTGCTGGCATGAGTGCTTCTGTAGCCATGTAGTAAATGGATCAGGAACTGATGCCGAATGGATCTAGATGGGTTATTTTTACTCAGATTAATTCCTTACATGACCTAGCTCTTACTCGCACAATGGCTTGTGTTGATGTAAATGCTGGGGCTGAGGAAGATCAGATCTGCTGCTGTTAGCAGCAATACCTGTTAGTGTGGCTTTAAAGGGTGGGTGGAGCTCTAAAGCCGAGGTGGAATTTGGTGTTGCAGCAAGGTCAAATTGACAGCTGTGGAATATCTGAGACAGTGGATTTGACTTAACTGCCTCCAGTGAAGATCTACTAAATAATTTTAGAGTTCCAGCTATTGATTTTCTTCTCCCTTTTTTATCTAGGATTCCTGTAAATCTGTTTACAAGGTTTGCTTTAGAGCACTTGAAATTCCAAGCATTTTAATGCAAATTTATGCAAAGTACATATCTTTTCACATTAAGAGAGTTGGGAAAATTTTTTCAAATTAATTGAAGAGCAGCCATTTGCAAATTATATTTAAAATAAATAGGCAAATGTGGTCATAGGTACTGGCTGATGAATAAAAGTCATACTGTTCTAGGCCAGTTTTCTGCACAGTTTGCTGCTGCAGCAAACAAGCCAATCCTGGTTTTACCAAGATGTCATGATACTGGATAATTTGCAAGAACTAAGTAGTTTGTCTCCAAGGCATCATTCTTCCTTTTCCATTTCAGGAATACAGCAGGATTATTAATTGCCTGTAGAAGAGTTAAAGTTTGAAGTGGGAGAAAGAACATGGAAGTTTTTTCTTTTTGTGAATTTTAAGCTTGCATTCTCATGTCTCTGTAATGAGAAATTCCATGTTCCTCAAGCAGTGTTCTGTGTTATGGAGACCTTAAATCCTGTCTAAACAGAGACTACTCTAGTAGGGCATAGGAACACTTGGTGGAATTCTTTACACATTATTTATCCTAGTCCTGCTACTGCTGCATTTCTGTTCTCTTACTTAAGGAGGGCAGTTTATGAACTTATGTTTGTACTCTGTTAGCACCATAACAGAATTGAATGACAGTTCTGCTTCAAGAGAAAGTGTGCAGCCTTATTGCAAAACATAAATCTAATATGACATAGAGCCCTTAAGAAAGGGGAAAAGAAGCTGGGAAATGTAGGTAAAGATGGAAAGGGATGCAGTCTTCTGAGACTGGAAATTTGATAGAAAGTAGTTCAGGGATGACTTTAACCAGTGTGAATACAACTGGAAAAGAACAAAGAAGTCTTTGGCGTGCTCTAAAAATAAAAGGAAATGAAATTACTTATTTTAGGTTAAAAAATCCAAGTCCTAGAGATGTTTGCTTGCAGAAAATGTAGTGATTTGTCAAGAGGGTTTTTTTTTCAGTTGAAGGACAATCTATCCATTTTATGTCTCGTGGAATCTTCTGCTAAATTATCTTGGATACTGTGAAGTGGAACATTTTCCTCTGAATGTAGTTGTTCCACTGCAGACCTCATTCTGGAGTTGTGAGCCCTTTTAAGAGAAGTGGGTGGTTTTGCAGTGGCACACCAGAGACTTCAGAGTTCTTAGATGCCCAGTGTTCAGCAGTTTCATGTTGTTGGTTCCTGTGTGTCAAAGCTGTAGGCTGTGGGTCCCGTCCTCTTGGATGAACAAAATTGCTATTAATTACATGTCGGCTGCTCTTTCAGTATTTCTTCCTTTTTTTTTCTCTCACTAAGGACTTGTACCAAAAGAAGTTGAAACTGCAAGACCATCTCCTTTATCTAAAGATTTTTTCTTTTTCCTTACTTCTTTCTTTTTCTTTTTTTTTTTTAAACTCATGTCTCCTCAGCTCTGTCAGTACTTGAACACTTAAAAGCACTGAATCAGTGGAACACTGTTGTCCATGGAAGAATTTGTAAATGGATATAAGCTACAGATGGGGCCTCTGAGAATGGACAGTGTGCTGGTCAGAGGTTTTACTTTCATGTGCTGAATAATTGATGCAGTTCAGATGGGTAGCTGCTTTCAACACCCCGATGTTCTTTCCTCCATACAGGTAAAGCTGTGTTCCTGGCACGAGACAAGCACCATTTGGCAGACCTAAGCCATTTGATCCGTCATGATGCCCCTTACTTATTTCAAAAATACGTTAAGGAGTCCCATGGGAAGGATGTGCGCGTCATCGTAGTGGGAGGCCGTGTGGTGGGCACCATGCTCCGCTGCTCGACAGATGGCAGGATGCAGAGTAACTGCTCACTTGGTAGGAAAAGCATTGCTCATAGTTTTGATCAGAATATTTCAACCCAGATGAAAAATCACAAAGCTGACTGAAATAAGCTGCGGGTGTTATTTTTTGTTAATTGTGCTTACCCCTGGGGTTTAAAGGGGAAACACAAGAATAAGGATTAAGTAAGAAGCATGTTGAACAAACACAGAAGGAGATATGATCTTTGCTCAGAGTGTTTGATAGATGGGATGATGACAAGCAGGGGAAAGTTCTAGAACACAAATGGAGCAACTGATGTGGTAATGGCAGTGTGATGCTAATGCCATGTTATCATTTGTTTCATCCTGTTGAGAGGATCAGAAAATTAAGGAAGACAGAAAGCAACACTTAAGCGAGGTGGAGAAGTCAGTCATTTGGCAAGAGAGTAGAAGAAAATGTTAAGTGAGGAAGCTGTTGAAGGCAGTAAACAATTGGATTGCATTGTGCATTTTCTGTGCTGCCTTAAGTCTGTCAGGTTCCTCCCTGCTACACAAGACCATATCTAGGAGAAAGAGTAGGTTACTGTACTGATTGTAGCATGCTCAGAACTGAGATTCTGCATAGGTTTGGGTGTTGGACTTGAGGGTTTCTGCAGGTAGAAAGAGGAAGGATGATTGAGGGTGCCTGGCTGAAACTGTACTGAATGTGAGCAGGGATGGGATAAAATGTGTTCATGTATAGTGCAGTTTTGGTTAGTCAAAATGCCTAAGAGATTTCAGTTACTACTTCATGCAGAGGAAATATAGTCTGAAAGGTTTTTCTGCTATTTTTTTTGGTCTCTTATTATTTGGGTTATTTTTCAATTGAAGTATTGTGATAGGTTAAGCTGAGCCAGTTAATACTTAGTTGGTGGACTGTCAACCTGATGAGCTGAGGTTCAGACACAGAAGTTCCCTAATTCTTGCTTTAGAGACAGTAACCTGTGGTAGGAAGTTGAGAGGTATGTGAGCAGATGATGTCTTAATCCCCATTCCCCTCAATTATATATACAGTTAGAGTTAGTCTTGCCAAGAGCTCTAGGTTTAATTTTGCTGAAATATTTCTTGTGATCTCGTACAAACATGTAAGGAAAGCCTCTACCTTAGAAGGAACAAGGGTGGTTTGTTAGTTCATTTTTTTTAATATCCTGGGATCATAAAAATGTGTATTTTGTTGACTAAAAAGTCATCGCTTAACTGTTTTAAACAAGTCATAATCATTTGAAATCCTGGTGTGGCATCAAGTTCATTAGCAGTTACTGTGGAAAGGAGGTCGCTTTCTAAGTCATGAGCAGTGTGCTTGCAGGCTGACTTTGAAGCTTCCCAGTCAAAAAGCACTGCCCGGTTGAGAAGGATTGTCAGTCACTTGTGACCTGAGTGCAGACAGCAAGTTCTTTTCACTTCTTCCAGGTGGCGTAGGAATGATGTGCTCACTGAGCGAACAAGGCAAGCAGTTGGCAGTCCAAGTGTCAAACATCCTGGGCATGGATGTGTGCGGCATTGACCTGCTGATGAAGGACGACGGCTCATTCTACGTCTGCGAGGCCAATGCAAATGTAGGTTTCATTGCCTTTGACAAGGCTTGTAATTTAGATGTAGCTGGTATCATAGCGGACTATGCCGCTTCCCTGCTGGCCCCCGGCCGCTTGACGCGGCGCATGTCCTTGCTCTCCGTGGTGTCCACGGCCAGCGAGACTAGCGAGCCAGAGCTGGGCCCTCCAGCTGGGGCCGCTGTCGACAACATGAGTGCTAGCTCCAGCTCTGTCGACAGCGACCCTGAGACCACGGAGAGAGAGTTGCTCACCAAGCTCCCGGGGGCTCTCTTCAACATGAACCAGCTACTAGCCAATGAGATCAAGCTCCTTGTGGAGTGATGCCACGTGTAAATAGGTGACCAACAGAACTCTCTCTTGTAAATTTTTTTTTTAAACCAACTTGCAATGCTGTTTATCAGAAACACTCAGAGGAGTGAGGAAAGGGGGGTGGGTATATCAGTTGAGAGAGCAAAAGTAAAAGGCACATGTGCTGTGATTGCTGTCCCTACTCATTTGCAGAACATTAAATTGTCTTAATTCTTCATCAGTTTTACAGTGGAGATGCTCAGTTCGTAACCAAGCAGCAATTTTATTTGGATGCTGCTTTGGTCCCAGATATATTGCAGTTCATGTGTCTTCACAGGCAAGCATTGAAGCGTGATTCACACTTGAAGATTTTCAGAAAGTTGTCTGGCAGCTCTCTAGAAACTTCTGTGAATTACTGCACCAGTTAAGTCTCTTCTACCTCTGTAAGGCTTGATCCTGTAAATTGCTGAGTGCCTCAAATTCTTTATGTGAGTTGAAGGTGTTAAACACCAAGTATTTCAAAATTTCTGGACACCTGCTGTTCCTACTCTTGTAGATGGGAGCTGTAAGTTCAGGATCCTTTTAAAGTCATCACTTTCTGACCTTGCAGGATACGGCCTTTCAAATGATGAGGCTGTGAGAAGTGTCAGTTAACTTAATGTGAACTTTCTGTAAAAATCTGTAAATTGTATCATCTTGGTTTTAAGTGGCAGCTTTTGTGTCTAAATTCCTTTATAAAGCTTTTAAAGGAGGATACTTATGTTTTTCTCATTTCAAATCCTGATTTTGGAAGGTATATAGGGGAATTGGTCATATCTATTTGTGGGCAGAAATGGCACGTTTTTAACTATTTTTTGCATGATTGGAGGAGATAAACAGCACTGTAATGTTTGGTATACAAAATGATGTTTAATCTAAAAATGTGAAAAAGAATTACACTAGTTTAAAGCAAACGTGCAACGACTTGTATTTGTTAGTGTTTTAGTCTTTCTGAGAGAGATCTGCAATGTTAATGTTCCTTTTTCTTTAATACATGCTAGTCCAACACTCCCTTCTCTATGCCTGCATCTTTAACAGTGGCCAAAGTGAAAACACCGCAGACTGTTTGTTAAGAAAACACTGAGTTAGCCTGTACACTGGTGGGGGGGTTGTTTGTTTCTTTTTGTTTGCTTTTTTTTGGAGGGAGGAATGTGTAAGGTGTGGAGGAGGGAAGAGCTGGTTAAAAGTGATTAGTCATCCAGAGGACTTTTAGAATAAAGCTGCAGTTCATACAATACTTACCAGGCTTACTTTTTCCCCACTGAACGTAAAAAAACCATGTTGGCATAAACCCAAAGAGTATAACTGGGGAGAAAAATTCACTTCTTAGCTTTGGAAAACGTGGCAGATTTGAAAAAGGCAAAAAAAAAAAAAAAAAAAAAAAAAAAAAAAAAAAAAAAAAAGAGAGAGCTCAGCCAGAGTTTAAAAAAAGAAAAAAAAGAAAACAACCCAGGTCCACAAACAATTAAGGGATTGATCCTAGACCCTTACATGTGTGTGGTGTGAGTGTGCACACTTGTGTGTGTTTGTGTGTGCACAATTGTTTTGCTTTATTTTTTTGAGGGTGTTGGCTGTTTAGCTCCTAACTTTTTTCCAGACTTCCTGATTTTCCTTAATCCTTCTGGCTGTGCATTTTGTCATTAGCCTTGAGCTGGTTTGGAAAACAGATAACCAAAACAGATACTGAGTCCATTTTTCAGTCCCTGTCTTCCTCCTCCTTTTCCTCCTCCTTCTCCCTTTTCATTCCCTCTTATTCTTGGGGTTCATAAAGCCCTGGAACTATATATATATATATATAAATATATATATAAAGATAAGCCTCTTTTTTAAAAACAAAGTAAAACGTTTACAATTGAAAAATCATCTTGTGAAACTAGGTTTGTTTGAGGGGGGTTGTGTGTGTGCAATGCTGCTGTTTTCTGGATACTTTAATGGAGCATGTCTCATGTACCCTCTGAGGTTCTGCACTGCCCACCTCTGTGGCCCTTCCTCACCTCTCTGCTGCTCTGCTGTTTTACCTTCACTTGGACCTTAAACACAACTCACGGACACTATGCAGAGAGTCTTCAAGAGGCAATAAACAGAACAATATTAACCTACTTTATGGAGGTTTGATCATGCTTCTTTGTACAGTTTGGTTTTTTTTTTTATTTTAAAAGGAATGTAATAAAATGGCTTTTTTTTGTAGAATTAAATATTATTATTAAAATCAAGTGAAAGGTTGACTGTTGGTGTTAAGCAGGAGGGTGGACCAGCTGGTCCAGCAAAAAAACGATCTTCAGCAGTAAAGGTATTTTAAAGGTATTTTCTTCTTACTGAGCCTTCAAGTGCACAGGTTATACCTGAAGAATATAAAGGTCTTCAGCTTCTGTGAAGAGTTACAGAATGACAGAACATGAAAGTAACCTAATTATCTAGTCACTGAGCAGTAAACTGTCTCTTCCAAGAGCTCTACTTCCCTTGCTTGTTTATCCAAGGGGAATTTGGGGTGGAGGGTGGCTCTTTTTTTGTTGTTGTTGTTTTTCCTTTTTTTGTCTCTTCCTTTTTACTGGTAGGTGCCTGCATTCCGTGACAGGCTGATAGGATCAATCCTTCCCTTTCTAGCTGTGACATACGTTGAGCACATGTGGAGTAACAGCAGGGAGTAAACAGGTGCTAGTTGGTATACAAAGGCCTTTGTGTTTCTATCACAGGAAACATCTTTTAGATGAAAGTTAACAGAATATTCTGGATTGTTTTTTTGAGTCCCTATAGTATCTTGTAGCTTACAGGAGCCTTACATTTCTAGCACCTTTTCAGAATGTCTAGGTTACACCTCACAGTTGTAAAATTCTTGAAGTAAACATAAGATTTTTTAAAAAAAGACCCAAGTGGGTTGAGAGAATTGCAGTTTGACTGCCTTCTGATAAGTTGCTCCTCTGATTGGTGCTTCCATTACTAGTTTGGAGATAAGTCTATGCATAGTGGTCACAGAGGGAGACAGGATTTGAAACATCATGTGTGTGTGTTTGGATATCCGGTATTGATGCTGTGTGAATACCTTGCTTGAGAGTTCATTTGTACAAATGGGCACATTTGTCTCATGTATTTACTCCCTACTTACCCATTGCTCCTGAAACAGTGAAATGCAAAGAATGGCCTGGGGATGAAAGCAGGGTATCTTGTTTTTACTCAAAGGGAAAAATACCAACAAAGCTAGTCTGTGGTAACCAGGCAGTGTTTCCCATTGATGGTGAACTCCACAGATGTCAGCTTTATACACTTTATTTTCTTCAGATCAGTGTGCTGAAAATCACATGCTAAACTTCCATACAGTTGCACTAACACTACCTCCTTATGTGGGTTTGGAAGAATGTGCTGAAAAAATGGTCAACATAGTGGTGGATTACAGTGGTGCCAATACAGCTGATGGTAATACAACTATTTTTGTATATTTTAATGTTTGAAAGAGCCAGTTAGAAACTTGTTTGCAAGAATAAGTTTTTTAAACTACATCTGATGAAATTTTGTTCTTTGTAACGCTGGAGATTTTATTCTGTTCAGCATACTGTGTTTGTAATTGATGTCTTGCTGTCAGTGTATGGATTGTATCTTAATCCTTGTATTTAATGCTTTAATGTGTTTTATAAAATCCTTTCTTGTAATGTTACAACACCTTATTTGTAAAACAGTGTCAATGCTTGATGTTTACATTGACTGTTACATTTTTTGTTCTGAGATGACTTTCTCCCACTTCGTATGCTATCTTTGCTGTGTGATATTTACTCGGGAAATAACCTCTGGAACATCTGGGTGTGTCAGACGCAAAGGAGATACTTCTTCAGATGTTATACCGGACTGCACAATCCAGCAAATGAAACCAGTGACGCTCGCTAAATTCCCTCATTCCAAAAATCTGTCAGTTAAATACATAAGGGACCATAAGGGCTTAGAGAGACTTTGAAAACAGATCGTACAGTATCTTTCTCATGGCTCACTCTTTTTGAGAAGGTTTATGGGCTTTATGGCTGGTGTGAGACACACGACCCACTCCTGTTCTCTCTATGGAATAGTAGGTGCTTGGACAGGTAACTTCTGTTGCTACTGTCTTTTTTAATTTTTAATTTTTTCACTGTTTTAGGAATTGTTTTAAACTGAACATTGCAGTATTTGTAACCAGATGTTTGCTGCCTTTTCCTTTGTTTTATTTCTTTAAATCTTTCTTAACCTTTGAGGGTGACTTTTGGAGCATTCTGATGGTGGATCTGCTGTTGGAAGTCTCCAAGCCTCCCATGTTTCTAATTTGAGTTGAAAAGCTTTTGTTTTGTTTATTTGTTTAAAACAATGACACAAATTAACTGTGTGGATTTTGGGTGGGATTTGTTTTTGTGCTATTTTGGGTGACTTATTCTCCCTTTTTTTACAGAAATGTGTTCTAACAGTTCACACTTTGTTACTGTTCTTTGCAAAACTTTTCAGGAGCCAAAAAAGTCAAACAATCCAGAGAAAACCCTTTCTCCCCTTTCCGATGGCACGAGTGAGAACTTATGAAAAATCCTTGCGAATGTTCCTTCCTAAACTTTTCCCCCCAGTAATGCAAGCGGGTAAAATGGTAAATGCAGCAGTTTGGTGACATCCAAAACCAACCTATTGTCAGGTAAATTGACACTTTTCTGCTCTTACTCTAACCTTCATAAGTTTGCTAACTTGTCTGCCTTCCTTTCTTCCCATCAGTTCATTTTGGTGATACTTGTTGAATGATTTCTTTAACTGGATTTAGAGAAAACCCTGCTTTATTTCCTTATTTCTCCTCCTTATACTTGTTGACTTTTAAGAAAACTGTCATTGTGCTTTACTTTACTCAGGTGAGACAAAAGTGAGTCCACCATGCAACTGTATGAGGGATAGTTTTGTAATACATTAATTTCCCTTCCTGTTTATCAGTTTTAGATTATCTTCAAGTGTACCGTTGTCGCTTAGATTTTTGAAAGATACAGTGCTTTCCATTTGCTAAGTGAACATAAAATATAACTGCAGAAATAAGTAGTTCATAGGAATGAAAAACTAGTACTAAGAATGTTAATTCTATTACAATTCAATAGAGCAGGATCCTGTAAAAAGGACAGATGGACCAATATGTGTGCTGCAGTAAAAGACTGTTGAGCTGATCATTTCTGTTTGTGGAGGATGGGGTGACACATTTTATCTTGCCCTTACTGCTGTATCAAAGTGCTTGTACATTTTATCCTTCTTTGGTAACTCTCTCCCTTAATCTCAAACAATGTAAAAGTACGGGGTACTTAATATTTTTTAACTTAATTTAAGGGGGAGAATCTTGTGTTTTACTCAGAGGTAAAATATCAGACAATTGGAATACTCTTCCAAGTTAAGGAATACTAGCCTAAAAACAGGCTTCCAAGTTTTTCCTAATGCAGTATTATATTTCCCATGACATCTGTAAAGAATTAGCTCTTGTTTCAGATTATTTTTCTGTGTACATTCATTACTCCTCTATACCGTCATACAATAGTCAATTTTTCATAGTCTCAGTTTATATTTCCTGAAAGAAAGCAAACTTACCAGCAATATAATAAATTGTAGCTTCAAATTAAGGTAGGAGGGAATCATTTTAGAGCCAAATTTTGCTCTCAATTACACTGAAATAAACCTGGAATCACTCTGTGAAAGTCAGTAGAGTGATATCTGATTTCATTGGTATAATTGAGTGTATAATTTGTATCTTTTAATTTTACTTGCAAGGTAATTTTACAAACCTGTTATACTTATGTTTCCAATGCTTTTTCCTTTCAGACACACCCACTTCTTGCGTCTCAGCTTTGGGCAGGCCTATTCCTTTATTTGTGTATATTTTTGTGCATCAGCTGCTATAGGACGCGGGTGTAACACTTTCAGGCATGTGGTTGGGTGTCTTTTTGGGGTTTGTAATAATGTCTAAATTAAAAATTTCTTTTCCTCAGATTTATTAATTTATTCATGTTGGATCACAGTTTTGCATCTCTAACCTGACTTTAGATATCTACTATGTGAACATTTTCTTGAAAGAAATACAGTACTAGTTCTTTGCAGAGTCTGCAATTCATCTTTAGTGGGGAGAGTTTACCAAAATTTACTGCATTTTGTAATATTTAAAGTTTTAATATTTACTGTAGCTTGAAAAGTGGTTTTAACAGGTCATGCTCCTTCCTCTTTATGGAATGACTTTCAAAGCCTTGTGTTGATCTTGGTTGTGCCCAGTGTTTTGCCTGGTGTATGGGGAAATGTAGAACTTGAATAGGCCATGACTTCTTAGACAAGGGATGATGATTATGTGCATGCTGAACTAGAACTTCTTCTATATGCCCTTCTGCTGCAACAGAATAATAAAACTGGTAGGTGACAGCAGCAGCAGCAGAAGACACTCATGACTGTGACCTGAGAAACCTCCAGTACTGGGAGAAATGGATTGCAAAGTACTAGCTGGAGTAAGGGGAATGGAGAAGAGAGACAGAGTCCCTGAACTGTCCCTTTGAATGGTGAGTCTGATTTACAGAATTCTGACCATCAAAAGACTGCTTGTAATACAAGAGGCACATTGATCTGTCTCAGTTGGTGTTTGGTTACCTGATGCCCTAATTGTCATCTTTGACTGAACATTCCAGTTTCCCCTCTGCCTTTATAAGACACAGTATTTGTCTTAAAAAAACGAAATTTCACCAAAATCATTACATATTTAGAGTACTGGAAAATAAGGCTGAAAGGAATGCATCTAGCCCTGAATGCATCAGTTGTTCTGTGCTCCACAGAAGACTGTTCATATTTGTGCCATTGGTGAAATGTTTATTGTAACCTAGTTTAAAAACCAAGGAATAAATGAGGAAGATTCTGCAATCCTATGGAATTTTTTTTTTATGAAGGTAAAAAACATCCTTACCATCATCCTTACCATTTCAGCCTCATAGGCTGAGAGCCCAACTGCTTTTTTTGCTACTTAGGAGCAACATGTGCTTACATATGTATATATATGTACGCCTTAGAAATGCCATGATAATAAAGAACAGTGTTATTTATGGAGATTTCCTAAATCTCAAGGTAGCAAAAAAAGGTTTGAATCATCAACAGTTAAAATTATTTTTGGAAGTGGGAAATGCAAATTATATAATGCTTCTGAGTTTGTGGTTAAGAGTTGGTAGTTTCAGCCACCTCTTCAGTTCTAACTGGCTCTGAAACTTCTTTGATTGCACATTCCTATCAGAAAAAAACATTTGGAGCATGCACCCCAATAAATAGTTTTCCCAAGTTACGTACATTTATTACTACATACATTGTAAAACTTACATAAACCCAAGAAGTTAAAAAAGAATGAGGTAAAGATTAAATGAAGACTATTTTTGAAACATTTACTTTACTATTCATTAATGGTGAAAAAACCATTGTCACCCTGCAGCCTTACAGATTGTCTTGCAAAGCTTCCTGGGGAGTGTGGGCTCCTGTTTGGGGACCACTGATGTAGACACTATAAATACTTTTTGTTGCAGATGTTATCAGGATGTTCCACTGTAACAAAACCTCCATGCTAAGTAATTCTCCTGATAGAGACTAAAATGCTGACTCTCTAGTAGGATGACTGCTCCTTCTGAAAAGACAGTAAGAGGAGAGAGCAGCACTGGAAGAAGCACTGATGAACTGCCTGACATAGGAGAAGTTTGAATCTGGATCAGCTGATAATGTGGAGAAACATGTCCAAGTGGATTGCGAAAAAGGAATTGTGTCAAAATATATATTAATATGCAGAATACAGCAGTAGCTTTTGTATTTCCATAAATGTTTCTACCTCATTTACAGCTAAGTATTAGTCAAAAAATTCCAAATTCTGTTTTCTCTTGTTATGTTTAGTCACACTAAAATCAGGAACAACACTTACATACAGCAGCTAAGCTGGATCTGAATTTTGATATCCAGACAGTTAAATGGTGTCCAGTGCACATCAGGTACCACTTAGGACTGTGGACAACTGGTGTGCTTTTCTCTTTAGCTTCTTAGTTACCATACAGCCTTTGAAAGTATTCTCTGGACCACAGGCTGAAAATCCCAGAACTGAATTTTTACAGAGTGAAATGAGATTGCATGTGCAAAATGGAAAATATTTTGGATAGAGAATTGATTGGAATCTTGTTGAATATAATAATGAGCAAAGTCTGTATGTGAGATGAAGCTCATAGAGAAAGGGTTTTAAATCCAGTTAGGCTGGAGATGTGATGAAGAGAAATAATTTCTGATAGTAGAAGCAAAGGAATCTGAAGCCTATGTCAGTCTGTCATCAGAGATAGAAATGAGGCAGGAAAACAGCTTTTGCTGATCTTGAGCATTCCCAGCTGTTGCTGTAAGGAGGAATCTCACCAGACTTTCCGTACATAATATATGCTAGGCATACTGGCCTTTGGGAACTGGATCTTGGGGAGAAGAGCTGAAAGTTCCATTGATGCACAAACTAACTGTAGCACCTGCCTACTTGCATGAGGGGTCATAGGGATTAAAGGTGTTACTGCACTGAGTTTACATGACGGTAGCATTTGAGAAGAAGGGTGTTCCTCTGGCCCTGGACATGGGCCTGTAACTGCTGCTTCTCAGTGCAGTAGGAGAGAGGCACATAAATGTATGTGAGCTTTTTGATGAGCAGAGACCAAGGTGACTTAGTCACTGGTCAGGAAAGAATTTTATTTTTTTTGTTGTAAACAGGAAGGCATTTAGAACACTTTCAGATCCTCCAAGCTTCTCCATGTGTTTGTCAGTACAAAAGAGTTCTGATTTTGGTTTTTTTTCTTTTAGATGTGACATACCCCAAAGCATCCTGTTTTCTGCTGTTTTGATGTGGTAGAGATTTGAAGAAGACAGATTATTTTCCATTCTTGTCATAGACTTTCACAGGCAGGCAAGGGGTGACATTTGTGAAAGGAGGAAATGAACAGGTTCCTCATGCTGACTGAATAGTAGGTGATGGATTAGGCTGATAAAAAAGTTAAAATTCACATTGCACCCATGCAAGGCATTTTCAAGGTATTTCTGTGTCCCTCCTTTGTTCCCTTAAGAAACAGTACAAGTGTTACTAGAATATACAGTCTGCATAGTAATATGTCTGTATTAAGCTCTGCCAAGTCTGTGCATGAAGGGCTTATAAAAGATTTATGTGAATTTCTGTGTTTGCTTTTTTATTTGGAGGTAGGTTGCTGTATGCAGCTATGTACAGTATTTTGTCTTAAGGTAATACATACTTTTGCTTATTTGGAGGGAGGGAACTGTGGGCAGTTAAATATATAATACTGTTATCCATTTCAATAGGAAGCAGAACAGCTAAGAAAAAGCATTTTTGTGTTAGACAAATTACAATATAATTGAGGTTTTTAATACAGAAATGAAAAATAAATGTTTTATTAAAAGGTCATTGGAATTTTTTTCAATAAAGTGTTCTAGTAGCAAGAAACTGATTTCACAATCACAGTATCAGTTAGGTTGGAACAGACCTCTAAGACCATCATGCCCCAGCCTTTGAACAAACACCATCTTTTCAGGTAGACCATGGCACTGAGTGCCACATGCAGTCTTTTCTTAAACACCTCCAGGGATGGTGACTCCATCACCTCCCTGGGCAGCCCATTTCAATGTTTGACAGTCCTTCTGTGAACAAATTCCTTCTTGCATTCAATGTGAACCTCATTCACTGTTGTAATATATAAAATTAAACAATAAATTAATTAATTTATCACATTTGTAAATTTCCAGGCATATGTGCTAATTTCCAGAATTTATTAGGACAATCCCTCTTGTACAAATTATCATTTGTTGTTGGACAGGGAGGGAAGATCCATGTTACATAAGCCAGTAACCCAGTTGTTGCTACCTCTTTGGCCAGCCATGCATTTCTTCTATGCAGATTTCCTGGAAGCAGTGACACTGCTGAGTTTCCTTGATGCTTAGTTCATCTGTGTTGTAAAACAGTTACATTTTGGGGAGAGAGGAACTGCAGAGGTGAGAACTGTCCATGGTGTTACATGTACTGAATGGGAAGGTGCTCTGAAGCAGAGAAAGAAGCCTAAGCAGTAGCTGTATGCACGATTATTCTTTTGGTTCTGTCATACCAATATAGTGGGAGGCCAGGAGTCCAGATGAATGTTTCAGTTACACCTTCATGAAGAATGGGAGTGTCACACTGACCGTGCAGCAGTATATGTTTCATATTGGTAAATGTTTCATTTACAACAAGTGTGGTTTGTCCAAGAGGGTGTGTGCAGTTTCCCCTCCTTGCTGCTACTGTGCAGAGCACTGCCTGGTAGTCTTTATTCTCTGGATTCTTTCTGTTCAGTGGTATTGTGCATTAGACCTGAAACTTGCATTTTGGGAGGAAACTCGGTGTGCTTTTGTGTATATTTTCCCATGCATCTAACCAACACAAGGCAACAGAAACAACACAAATGTTACGGTTACCCTGCCCACCGACCTTTACAACATTGTATGGAAGGGGTAGTGCAGTTGTAATGGATATAGGAATGCTTGTACATGCCCAAATGGAAATGGTTGTTTACTGGATGGCAAGTACTGAGGTTTTATCAGTGGGAGAACTAGGCAGGAAAATCTTGCAGTTTGACTTTGCTAAACTTTTACACAATTTTTCCTCCACATGAAATATTTCCACAGGAATCTAAGGCATGTGGAAGATGCTGGATCACCAGGTGCAGAGATTGAACTCTACCCACTGTAAAGGTAACAGGAACTAGATTTTATATTCAGAAAACAACCCACACTGCATCTCACTCCTTGACCTGGAAAGGCCTTTTCCAAGGTCAGAAAAGGAGTTTGCTACCCATGCCTTAGTCCTTGGTATGTCTGTTTTGCAGCTATGAGGGAAGCCAGATGGGTGCTGGATACAGAGATTTTATGATGTCTGCTTGCATTTCTGGTACTCATATTTTGGAGCAAACACTAACTTCTTCACTGATTTATTTCTTTAGGTTTTTCTACAGCAGCAGCAGATCTTCTTGCCTCTCATGGGAACACTTAGCCTTTTGATAATACCTCCTTCACAATGAAGGGAAGAAAGGATGGATCAGCAGGGATGTGATGTCCACATGTGGTGTTAACAGTCATGATGATCCCTGTCCCACTAACTTGGAGAATTGAATAAAAAATTGAATTGTAATTCATGAGAGTATGAGATTCTTTTTGGTACCTTTTGCACCCTCTCTCCTTTCTTGAAGGGCTGGTTAACTTGAGAAATCTGTTGATAAGGTATCAAAGCTGCAGCTAAGCCAGAAGAGTAAAACCTATTGGGTATTCTTCACTTTATTAACCGTTTTTTTTTCCCTACAGGAATTTTATTCCTAAGAGTTCTAAATGTTTACATTGACATGAATAATCTTCCCAAATGCCTTAGAAACTTCAGCATCAGGCCTTTGGTTTTATCAGCCATGTTACAAATTCACCTAAGTCACTGAGGATACAAGTCTCCTGAGTTTCAAAAGTGAAGTCACCATACTGATGATGCTATACTTTGTGGTCACTTTGGTGACTGCTAGAGAAAAAGAGAAGCAACTTGGTTAACCTGCCAGAGCTAATGTGGCTTTGCATTTTGAAGCCACAGTGGCAGGTCTTGCTATAGACATGGACATTCCTACTATCTATTGTTTCTGAAGACAGCTAATCTTACCATGGATTATAGATCTTGCACATGGCTCTCTTGGTTTGTTGTTAGTAAAGGACTGTAAAGAATTAGACACACACTGATGGCATTTCCATGATGTGCCTACTTGAAATTTGTACAAAATTTATAAAAGTGAAGCAAAAAAAGGAAGCAAGATGCTGAGTTGGTACATAATCAGTAAACACCTCTTATCCTTGACATTCTTCCTGTTCCTTTAATGGATATTCATTTCATGTATATTTTAATTCCTGTTTTCTTTGTGCTTGTTCTAGTACTTTACACGTGAATGTAACCTAGCAATGTGGCTGGTAGCCTGTCTGCAGCTATGCCTTTGCTCCAGTAGCTGCAGTTTATGGTTGGGATTTTTGTAGATCTGTGTGTCACGCTGTTCCTCTGGCACCTCTGTGAGCAGGTGGAATGACTGCCCCAACGCAGTAATGGCCATTTAATCCCTTGTGGTTCAGTGCCTGTTTGTGTGCTGATGCATACGCTAATGCTTCCTTAAGTGCTTTTCTGCCTTAATATTTTATTCTTAAAAGGTAGAACAGCTGAGAACTTTCTAAATTCCTTCTTTGTTTCATATATCCCATCTTGCTAAGCTGCTTCCCGGCCCTGTATGTATTTCATTTCTCTTATTTTTTTGTGAGCGTTCAGCAGTGTTCTCTGTTCTGCTGCCTCAAGTTTGCTCCTGCCTTCATAGTCTTTTTTTTTCTTTTATTTTTTTTTCCTTCTTTTTTTCCCCTGGTCTTTTTTTCTGCTCTTAACTGGCCCCACATGTTTTTATCCTTGTCCCAAGCACACACGCACATATGGTAGCCTAAGAATATTTCTTACTCAGTGTCTACCACAGATAACCATTCTTTGTATTACTCTAAAAGTGTGTTTTCCTTTTTTCAGAGTGAGAAGTGCTCTGTTACAGTACATTTCCTTTTGGTATTTCACAGCCCTGAATGTGTTAGAAGTAAAATAGAAATCAAAACAAATTTATCACTGTGTAATGTCTTAGTAGTGAGTGAAAGTTAGCAAATTGCAATACTGAGGAGAAGGTTCCTGGCTTTTACACTTATTTATCAATCTTTGTCGAGAGGGATTGGTCCTGTAATCTGTGTCTTCATGTACCTCACTTAAAAGTTCAAATTCAAGAGCTGTGGTGAAGAATCTGTTGGTGTCATGAAATGTTTTGCTTTCCTTTGTCTTTTTTAGCTTCCTTTGAATTTAAGTAGTGGGTATCAACAATTAAATAGTAGTTGGACATTCATGATACAATATTTTGATATTACTTATACAGTATAGTGAAAACAGTAATAATAGTTCAGTAATGATAATACTGACCTGTGCTGTGATGATCAGGGTGTAAACAGTTCCTTTTGCACATCTGCATTTCCTATTAATTGGAATTGCACTGTTATGCCAGCTACAGAAATGGAATACTTGTAAAACTCTGTTTTGCTTAGTGTGATGAGATCTTGGGGTGGGGTGTATTTGTATTGAGGCCAGACTTGGAGAGAGGTTGTAATTTTGTTTAGCATTAGATCTGGAAAACTTCTGTAACTTGTCTGGACTGCATTCCCAGTTGTGCATGATGTAAACAGACAGCTCTGTCTTGACCACTGTCCTCTTTTATTTTCTGGGTTGTTTTCCTTATATTTTGCCTTATCACCTTGGTTGCTTCTCCAATCCACTCTTTCCCTGTCTAGACAACTTGGTTTATCACTGTGCATTTACCTCTAGGTGCTCTGCAAAATCAAGGTTTGGAATCAGACATCACATCATCATCTCTCTGCCGCTCTCATCCCATGTTGTCATCACTTTAGTATGCGATGGTAATGTTGAGAAGGGAGAACGTGCAGTGCAATGACCGGGTCACCTCAAAAGCCTCAAGGGTGGAATCCTTGGGAGAGAGGCTGCCACTGTGTGCTTCTTTCCCCTGCATTGACCCCCTTAGTTTAGCTGGTGGTGCACAGGCCAGTCTGATAAGCACAGGCTGATAAGCTCACCCCTATACTGCTTCCTGGCTTGGGCATTTCAGCCTAGACATGGCCGGTCATGGACATCAGTGATCACCAGGTCACTGCTGCTGTGCTCTTCTGTGCTTTGCATGTGCCTGGGGCTGAGATTCAGGCAAGCTCCTTGGTCTCCTGAATGTTTGCCCTCATCTGCTTTGGATCTACAATCCCAGTCGGTGCAAGGGAGTTGAGTAAGCTGTATTGGGCTCCAAAATCATGTTAAACACATTAGGAAGAGTTTCTGTCAGAGATGGAGTACACCTCCATATTTTTCTCAGCATTTGAATTAAAAAAATAATTTGTATATTTTATAATGACATTTCTGAAGATTTCTAATGAAGGCAAAAGTCTTCCTTCTAGTTCTGCTCATCTTTTCCTTCCCGGAGGGCATGTATAGCAGCTGCCAGAGCTGTCTCTAGGGAAGAACCAGCTGTTTCCCTACAGCCCCCAAGATTGAAGAGAAAAAGATAGGGATACAGTGATGTTCTTTGAAGGGAAAAGATCGGGAGGCTGCTCTCTAACATTCCTGGTAACCATCCACGTTCAGCAGCTGGGCAGTAACAACAGTTGTCTCTAACAGTATGATATAAGAAGCAGGGAAGGAAGGGACAGTATCCCTTACAGTTGTGATGTCACTAATGGACCAGAAGTCACATTTCTGTGGAGATGAGGCAGGATGGTTATGAGGGAGAACTTCGGCTTTTGGAAAAATAAAAAAAAACAATCTCTACAGTTTTCTAGTGCCTTCTTTCCAGACTCGTGGATGGTGCTGTGTTACAGGGAAGAATATCTGCCTAATCTTCCCTATAACATCCCTTTGCGCAACTTTCTGTAGTCCTATACGCAAGGTAAGACAGGGAAGAAGTACTCTCAGAATCATTCAAAGTGCTCTCTGCAGCCTGAATACTTCTGTGTCTTGGATTGGGGATCTCTTGTCTTAGCCCAGTCTTAGTAACAGCTCATGTATTTTGAAACCAGCTGAATTTGTGAGCAGTGAATGGAAATGAAGAATTGCAGCCCAGTTATGAGACTTCACTCTGGAACAAGCAACCCTTGAAACAGGAGAGGAGGCCCAGTAGAGGGAAGGAAAGAAAGTGTTTTCAGTGTCTGAATTTCCAGATTTAGTCAGGGGTATGTGTGCAACTTTCTGTTATAACACTGCTGGCTCTGATACCATCAGTTGTCACATGGAACCATTTCAGGTGGGAGATGTTAAAGGAGTCCAGCCTTTGTTAGATGCAGGTGACTGTTTGGTGTAGAAGCAAAGGGATAAGACGGGTTCCTAATGATGTTTTCCTGTCTAAACTCTATTCCTGTTCCTCCCATTGCTCTGCTGAGATACCTTTTGGCATTGTAATTTGCTAGGAGGCTTTTTTATTTTAATTTCCAAGGTTGACAGTTTTTAACTGTTGCAGATTTCTCTCCTGCCAGCAAATTAAGGTTTCGAGACTGTCCATTGTTTTAAAGATATCTGTGTATCTGTTACCTCACCTGGAAGGATGGGGTTGGGGCACAGAATTACATTTTTCTGCTCAGTTTTGTGGTTAATGTCCTTTTGTGCAAGGCAGTTTTGCAGGAGCCCCTGCTGGTTTTTGCACCATCCGAGTTAGCTGTGTTTCCTTGGAAGTTTACTTACTCATTGAGATGAAGCTGGCATTCAGCATGTCTTACTATAGACGGAACCAAAAATGAGCCTGCTCTGGAAGGCAAATAGCCAAAGCAGATGACAAGTGTGACAGGACACAGGAAAAGAGCATGTCAGTAGCTAAGAGTTGTAACTCATCTGTGGTGCAGTGGCAGCTATCCATTATGCTATATAGTCCATTGGATGGAAAGAGATGAAAAACAGCCAAGATTCTGTCTGTTGGCTGGCCACTGTTCTTTGCATGCATCCTGTTTTTCACCTTCTTGTAGGGAATTACTGCCAGAATCACACCACATTTGCAGGTAGAAATGTTTGTTCTTGAGCAACTGTGCAGTGGCAGGAAGGGCAGCAGGGACCCACCTGCCCAGGCTCAGGTGCATTTCCTTGTCACAAAGGGAGCCCCCAGTGAACTACGTGCAGCTGAAGATGCCAGCAAGAAAAGCAAGGATGCAGCACCAGGAATTTAGCATTGAGGACACTGCAGACCCATTTTTGAGCATGTTTTTAAGGCATCCAAGTCTTGCAAAATTGCTAGTCATAGCCATCAACTTTTGATTAAATTTCCATCTTTTCCTTTAGCCCACATGATTGGTGTTTAATGTCACTGCATTCAGTATCCCTTGGAGCAGAACACACTGTGGTGCATTGTTTTGTTTTTGTAGTTGGCAAGCAGGTCATAATGTGTTGCTTTGGTTGCCTGGAGGAGTTCAGCATCTTTTAATTACGTGTTTTTGGAAGTGTCCTTTAACAGATGTAACCCTTAGGAGCTGGAACAGTGAGGATGAGAAGCAAGCTGGTTCGCAGGGATTTGGAAGCAGCTGTTGTGAGCCCAGAATGGTGAAGTGCTTCCAG